CGATGAGAAATACCCATCTACAGTGCTATGAAGCTTAATCTTTTTTTTTGTTTGGAGCCAATAGTCCAGTCAACATCGACTTCGAACGTCGCAAACGTACATGTATCATCGTTTATGAGAAATAGAGCAAAAAGTTAAAAAAGTTCTAAAATTGAGCACTTTTTCGAGCACCATGGGAGTACCACAAGGTTTTCAGGGTTGAAAACTTGGGTGGAAACTTCTCTCAAGGAACCTAACAACATAATAAAAAAATTGTAGCTATACATGCGCGTTTGCGATAATAATTGTGTCAATTTTGACTGGACTACAAAGTTGCCCCCTAGAGTTAAAGTAACCCGTAAATACGGTACGTAATTGGTTTTGTATTACATAATTGATAATTCCACCATAATTCACCAGAGGAAGCAATGGAATATCGCAATCTCTTGGAATTGGATGCGCATGCGACTTCCCAACATGGCGGACAATCGTGCGCAGTTTTACGATCGCACACACAATGGGACGAAATTATGTAAATACACGACAAATCATTAAGAGCGTTTACGCCGTTTGGCGCAAAAACAGTACTTTTTCAACTCGTTACAATCATTAACCAGTAATACTACAAATATGTTATAGGCATAAATAGTTAGGCAATTTCGTCGTCTAAATAGTTAATTGAGAAAATATTGCGATTAGTTTAGTATTTAAGAATTCTATAAAGATAAGTCCACACAGGTTTTGTAAATTTCCACTTTAGCGTCAGTTTACAAGCTGAAATTTTTATAAAAATACTGTGAAAACGATTTAACAAACATTTATATCCTATAGCATAGATTCTTGGGCAAATAGTTATCTGAGAAAATGTTTAGATTTAAGCATTTTACAATAAGAAATCACAAACTAAAAGAACGTGAAATACCCAAAAATCAAAGTGATTTTTTCACCAATATTCTTCCTTTATCTATACTTATAATAAATCTGTAGAGAGGTCAATTCTGTACATGAAATATATTTTCAAAATAACTATCAGGGGGTGATTAGTGATCGATACTGATGCCAAAAATGCAATCAGTAAAATTTTTGTCTGTCTGTCTGTCTGTCCGTCTGTCTGTCTGTNNNNACTGCAAACTGCAAAACTATGAAATCGGCAGCGCGGCATTGCAGCTGCGGCGTGTATACTGCAGATTTCATAGAGTTTTGCAGTTTGGAATTGTACCCTTAGACTCCGCCTTTATCAGAAACTATCCGTAACTTTTGAATCAGTTTCGGTTACGGTTATGGATATTTTTTTTATTTCGGATATCCGATAGTTTCGGTTACGGTTACGGATATCCATAACATCCCTGCTTGGTAAGATGGCCCTCTCCGTCCCGCTCATACCTTTTAAAACGGCTTCTCCACCTCACTTAAGCCAGAAACTTGAATTTTGGGCACATGAGAATAATATTTTTAACCAAGGTAGATAAATTAAAAACGGGATTATTTCCAATAAACAAAAATTGTCGACAATTACAGCAAGATTTTACAAAGTGTTATACCATTTTGGAATCCTCACTAAATGCGCCAAATTATGACGTCACTTGCCACACTCGCGTAGTACAATTTTTTTTCAGTACAGTCAGTTTAATCTAGGCAAAATTTTTATTTTGATATTTTTTTTGGGAGTAATGTATTTTTTTCATCCAAGTTGGAGCAGCTGGTTTTGTAATTTTGATAACAATTTAGAGAAGCATTATTCAGGGTTACATAATAAAAAAAAATTTGGAAAAAGTGAAGATTTGTGGCAACACGAGTAAAAAGACCGTCACCGGGAGTAGAATTTTTGGATTTTTTTTAAATGCCTATTATTTTGACAAAATGCCATATAGATTTTTTTTATATTTTTCTGATAACCAGCATAACTTGCCTCAACACCCAGTTCCGGCTTGACGTTACATTACGGGACACCCTGTATAATTGAGCAGAGTGTAGTAATTACTTATCTACGTATTATACATATATTAATCAACTAGCTTACCACCCGCGGCTTCGCCCGCGTGGAATTTTGTCTGAAACAGAAAAACAATATCGCTCGCGTGTTTGCTCACCGTTTAGACCTACCCTGGACTACGACAAACATTTTAAAACCAAAATCAGCTCAATCGGCCCAGCCGTTCTCGAGTTTTATTCAGACTAACGAACATCAATTCATTTTTATTTATATAGATAGATAGATTACACCTACGTTTCTTATGTGGAAACCACCGTTAACTTTTAATTTTTGAGTAAAGAAGTTTATTTCTATGTCAGTTAACCTTCGGCATATTTAACAAATCGACTATAACATTGTTTATATTTTCGACGTCTGTGCCAGTCTGCTAAGTTCCTTCTACTCGTAAATTACGATTTGTTCTATACATATTAATGTATTATTTCTGGGTCACCAAACTAACGTTTGTAAACCAAATCTCAAGTTGATCCCTTAAGTTTTGTGGTTTCTTAGCCGATCGTGACAGGCGGGGGCGACAGTGAGTGATCCGGGTCGAAGAGGGTTAAATATTTTCCAAATGTATGCGAACCCTAAATTATCTTTTCCCTTTGAAAATAAAGAAACAGGAACACTTAGCAAGCAACGTTTTACTTATTACCTATGTAGGTACTTTCATACATACTTAATAATTATTTATAGAGCAAGAGCAAATGAGTACAAGACATTCGTTCGCCTATAAAAGCTGAACGTTTTTAGCTCATTTCTGTCATCTAAAATATGCAAGTATTTTAGGTCCTCGTGGCTTTTTCATGTAACATGTAGTAATTTTTTTATACAATACACAAATATCTACTATTAAAACAGTGCGAGCTAATACAAGCGAGAAAAGAAAATCGAATCGTGTCAGTCATTCAGGAGTTATGATGAAAGACAAACAGAAAGACACAAATTTTTGCGAATAATAATGCGAAAACTATTTTCACGCTAATGTCTTTTGCGCTAGTCTTTCGCGTTCATATCTTTCGCGCTAGTGTCTTTCGCGTTCATATCTTTCGCGCTAGTGTGTTTCGCGTTCATATCTTTCGCGCTAGTGTCTTTCGCGTTCATATCTTTCGCGCTAGTGTCTTTCGCGTTCATATCTTTCGCACTAGTGTCTTTCGCGCTCATGGCTTTTCGCGCAAATGTTTTCGCGCTAGTGCTTTCGCACAAGTGCCCCGATACGCTTTTGGCACTGTCTAATCTCTGACAAGGTATAAATAAAGGATTGTTAATAAATTGTATTTCTTTCAGTATTGGCATTCTCAAAACCTTTGTATTACTTACTGCAATTCGTATGTATTTGGGGCAGTGTCTTGGCCTCCAGTCAAAACAGCCCAGACACCGGAAGCGAAAACAATAAGCCATGTCGGAGGCAAGAGTGAGCTCCACAACATTCGTTATTGCTTACATTAAGCAAGGAATGCTGGTTTATTGCCTTGCATTTGTGAATTTCTGATTCATATTAGTTTGCACACCTATTTATCTACTACATTATGTGAAAGTGACTCTGTTTATTTATTTTGGGTTGTTATGTTTTGTTGACGTAAGTTTACATCGTGCCATCCACGAAGATGCGCCCCGCCATTCTTCCGCTAATATTTGAGTGTACCGATAGTACACGCTAATTATCCATGAGTGCACACGCACACTACAATAATGACGCTCGGATTGCTCGGATCAAACTCCCCGCACTCCGCGCTTCCCTCGACCAAAAATTGGTGGGGCGCGTCTTCGCGAATACTTTGAATAAACGGGGATTCTTTTTAACTAATAATAATCTTGTATCTTATCTTATCTTATCTTATCTTATCTTATCTTATCTTATCTTATCTTATCTTATCTTATCTTATCTTATCTTATCTTATCTTATCTTATCTTATCTTATCTTATCTTATCTTATCTTATCTTATCTTATCTTATCTTATCTTATCTTATCTTATCTTATCTTATCTTATCTTATCTTATCTTATCTTATCTTATCTTATCTTATCTTATCTTATCTTATCTTATCTTATCTTATCTTATCTTATCTTATCTTATCTTATCTTATCTTATCTTATCTTATCTTATCTTATCTTATCTTATCTTATCTTATCTTATCTTATCTTATCTTATCTTATCTTATCTTATCTTATCTTATCTTATCTTATCTTATCTTATCTTATCTTATCTTATCTTATCTTATCTTATCTTATCTTATCTTATCTTATCTTATCTTATCTTATCTTATCTTGTCTTTATGCCTGGGAGAGTTCTTCGTGCTATCATCCTAACTTTAGCACATAATATTATTCGAGACGTTCCTGAAGCTCCCTTGCATTAACGTAATTTTTTAATTGCCATTATGTCTCGTGTGCCGGTATGCACAATACTAAATCTCTTCATATCTTATCTTGATCACGTTCACAGTGTCAGCACATTTATCACGTATAGTGCTGATGCTGTGACGTCATTTACCTTTGATCTATATCGTATAAATAGTCGCGCAGTTCACATTAATAAACAGATTAATATCAGAGACTAACTACAACCCGTGTCTCATTCATACGGTCCCCCAACATGGCACATCTCGCATTCCAGGAGTTCCTCGAGATCCTGTCCCGGGTCGCGCGCGGCTCCACCCAGGAGAAGCTGGCGTGGGTGTTCGCGCTGTACGACGTGGACGGCGACGGGCGCATCTCTAGGGCCGAGATGTTGGCAGTCGTGACCGCCGTCTACGAGCTGCTGGGCCGCGCCGCCAGGCCGCCCGTGCACGCGCACGCGGCTAAGGACCACGTCGACAGAATCTTCCATGTACGATTTTTTTTGGACTATCCATGGATTTATTGTACGATGACGGTTCATTTTCACTGTCACTGTCACTGTTAATGTCACTGTCACTATCGTTGTCGCTGTCGCTGTCACTGTCACTGTCACAAACACTGTCGCTGTCGCTGTCGCTGTCGCTGTCGCTGTCGCTGTCGCTGTCGCTGTCGCTGTCGCTGTCGCTGTCGCTGTCGCTGTCGCTGTCGCTGTCGCTGTCGCTGTCGCTGTCGCTGTCGCTGTCGCTGTCGCTGTCGCTGTCGCTGTCGCTGTCGCTGTCGCTGTCGCTGTCGCTGTCGCTGTCGCTGTCGCTGTCGCTGTCGCTGTCGCTGTCGCTGTCGCTGTCGCTGTCGCTGTCGCTGTCGCTGTCGCTGTCGCTGTCGCTGTCGCTGTCGCTGTCGCTGTCGCTGTCGCTGTCGCTGTCGCTGTCGCTGTCGCTGTCGCTGTCGCTGTCGCTGTCGCTGTCGCTGTCGCTGTCGCTGTCGCTGTCGCTGTCGCTGTCGCTGTCGCTGTCGCTGTCGCTGTCGCTGTCGCTGTCGCTGTCGCTGTCGCTGTCGCTGTCGCTGTCGCTGTCGCTGTCGCTGTCGCTGTCGCTGTCGCTGTCGCTGTCGCTGTCGCTGTCGCTGTCGCTGTCGCTGTCGCTGTCGCTGTCGCTGTCGCTGTCGCTGTCGCTGTCGCTGTCGCTGTCGCTGTCGCTGTCGCTGTCGCTGTCGCTGTCGCTGTCGCTGTCGCTGTCGCTGTCGCTGTCGCTGTCGCTGTCGCTGTCGCTGTCGCTGTCGCTGTCGCTGTCGCTGTCGCTGTCGCTGTCGCTGTCGCTGTCGCTGTCGCTGTCGCTGTCGCTGTCGCTGTCGCTGTCGCTGTCGCTGTCGCTGTCGCTGTCGCTGTCACTGTCGCTGTCGCTGTCACTGTCACTGTCACTGTCACTGTCACTGTCACTGTCGCTGTCGCTGTCGCGGTCGCTGTCGCTGTCGCTGTCGCTGTCGCTGTCGCTGTCGCTGTCGCTGTCACTGTCGCTGTCACTGTCACTGTTACTGTCACTGTCACACTCACTGTCACTGTCACTGTAGCTGTCACTGTCACCGTCACTGTCACTGCCACTCACCGTCACTGTCACCGTTACCGTCTACTCTGTCACGGACACTGTTACTGTCACTGTAGCTGTCACTGTCACCGTCACTGTCACTGCCACTCACCGTCACTGTCACCGTTACCGTCTACTCTGTCACGGACACTGTTACTGTCACTATCACTGTCACTGTCGCTGTCACTGTCACTGTCACTGTCACTGTCGCGGTCGCTGTCGCTGTCACTGTCACTCTCTTATTCTCTCACTCTCATTCAATATCTCTCTCTCACTCTCACTCTCATTCTCTCACTCAATATTTCACTCTCTTTCAATATCTCACTCTCACTCATTCTTTCTCACTTTCACTCTTTCACCCTCACTCTCACTCATTCACTCACTGAGATGTTAGCAGTCGTGACCGCCGTCTACGAGTTATTGGGCCGCGCCGCCAGGCCGCCCGTGTACGCGCACGCGGCTAAGGACCATGTGGACAGGATCTTCCATGTACGGTGACGGTTCATTTTCACTGTCACTGTCACTGTCACTGTCACTGTCACTGTCACTGTCACTGTCACTGTCACTGTCACTGTCACTGTCACTGTCACTGTCACTGTCACTGTCACTGTCACTGTCACTGTCACTGTCACTGTCAGTGTCACTGTCACTGTCACTGTCACTATCACTGTCACTATCACTGTCACTGTTAATGTTACTGTCACTCACTCACTGTTACTCTTACTGTCATTATTATCACTGTCGCTGTCACTGTCGCTGTCGCTGTCACTGTCACCAACACTGTCACTGTCACTGTCACTCTAACAGTCATTGTCTCTGTCACTGTCACTCTCACTCTCACTCTCACTCTCATTACCTCTCTCTCACTCTCATTTAATGATTATACAACTTTTACAAACTTTTTATCTTATTTTAATCGACTCACACTGAATCTCTCACCCTTACTCTCACTCTCTCACCCTCACTGTCACTCTCTTACTCTCTCACTCTCACTCTCTCGCTCTCTCTCTCGCTCTCACTTTCACACACTCTCTCTCTCTCACCCTCACTCTCATTCTCACTCTCACTCTCTCTCACTCTCTCTCACCTTCACTACCTCACTCTCACTCCCACTCTCACTGTCACGTTCTCATGTTGCAGCTGATGGACACGAACGCGGACGGCGTGGTGACGATGGACGAGCTGGCGCGCTGGTGCGCGCGCGACCCGGCGCTGCTGCACTCCTTCGACGCGCTCGACACCGTGCTGTGACCCGCGCGCGCGCCGCCCCGGCACAGGTCAGAACACTATACTCGTAGTCTGGTCTGTAAGCACGTAGAAATTTGTCCAATGACCCCAAGCTACCCGTCCTTATCGCTCGCGCGTAATGAGGGCTATCGCTTTAGCGCTCACCAGTTAGCGCCACTGTAGAGTAAGGTCCTGTCACTTGCTAGTAGCGAAGACAGTGGCACCAACTGGTGAGCGCTAAAGTGGTAGGAGGACTATCGCATTTGCACTCATCAAGATGGCGCCATAGAGTAAGGTCCTGTCATTCGCCAGGGATGCCAACTGTTAAGTATAAAATTATTTACTAATTTTTTTTTTTTAGAGAAATATTTATTAATCTTTATTTACAATAAACAGATTTTTTTTTTAAAACTAAGGCTAACTTAACTCTAAACAAAATAAAAATATAAACTTATATTACTCAAAAATAAAAGTGTGTCCGTGAGGCAAAGAGGCGAGAATGCTGGCTGCATTTCCTCGCTGAATGGCAATACTAAGCCTTTGTGCAAGGAAAGAGCCAGCATTTAGGTTTTCCGAAATTTTAATTAATTTAGGGGAAATGGTCCGAAACAGTAATTTAGCATTCGGTCCCCAAGGTCCGAAGGTCTCGACACCAAAAGGCGCAAATATGTAGTCATTAGAAAGTGACTCATATTTGCGCCGTTTGGCTAACTCAGCCGACTCTGCTGCAGCCCCAGCTTTAGCAACTGATTCCCTGAGGTGGGAAGGGGCTAAAGTATCGACACATGTAGCGTCCCAAACTAAAGCCCGTCCCCGTTCCCAGGGAACCAGAGTGAGACCATCAGGTCTCTTGCCATCATCACGGACCAATCCACGTGGTTCTAACGTGGAAGGAACGTTGATGCTGGCAAGGGCTCTCCTGATGGCGTCGTTGAGAGCAGCGTGTCGGGCGAGACGACCAGCACTTTGCTGGCAACATAGACCGTGGTGACCGAATTGGTCCACCTCTTTGCCACAGGGACACGTGTGGGGTACACAGATTGGTGCACCGAGGCGTAAGCCCACACACACCCGGAAAGACTCGTTGTCAAAAAATGTTCCGAGATTTTTGGAGGGAAGTGCATTTAGCCAGTGACCGGATTCCCTACAAGAAACCGCTAAGAGCCTAGCTTTGTTAGTATCACTGATAGAATTTTGAACAAGGTGGTTAAAAGTCTCTTTCGCTAGTGGAGCGTCCCAGAGTTTTTGATGATGACGTTCCTTTGGGACGTCCTCACTAGGACAGAGACTTTTCCAAGATTCTTCCGCCTCACTAATTTCATCTAAAAATGTGCTGTTAAAAAAAATTTTTTTGACGAGGGGAAGAGTACTGTAAGCGGAGGAAAGAAAGGCGGGTAAAGCAACACTAGAAATTTTGCGTATGCCGATACCACCGAGCCGAATAGGGAGTGTGGCTTGTAGCCAGGAATTATCATTGAGTTGCAAATTTAGAATTTTTTCAAGGGAAGATCTAAGGGTCGAATCTATCACATCCAAATAGTTGTTTTTTTTCCAAACTGGACTTGCACGGAGAGTATATGTAAATTTAGGGACAAATAGGCAATATTTCAAAATAGTGAAAGCAATATGAGAATTTAGATGTTCCAGCCTGGACGCCATATTTGAAAAATGGTTAATTTTTTTGTCCAAACAAGGTTTAATGCTGTCATCGAGAAGAGGAGCACCAAGAAGGCAAAGTGAGTCAGAATTTAGAATTTTGATGTTGGGGGCCAGACAGTTGAATTTATCCAAAATGTTTTGTCGAATATTTGAAGGAATATTATTGTTAATAAAAATTTCGCATTTGGAAAGGTTAAGGTCTAGTCCAATCTTTTTAAAGTTGGTCATTATCCTAACAAGATCATTATAAACAGAATCTGCTTTGCCTCCTAGGGTACCGTCGTCAAGATACCAAACATTTAATTTCGAATTTAGATTGGAGATGATTGGGTGGATACCTAAACTAAAAAGTGCTGGACCTAAAGGATCGCCTTGCTGAACACCAACGGCTGACTCAATACAATGATCGGTATAAAGTAATTTAGATGGGGAGTTGTAACACTGGTAAACGAAAGGATAAATCTGAGGAATGTGGAAACGAACCTCGTTCAGCAAGGCGGATCTGTCCAGCGAGTTGAAAGCATTCTTCACGTCTACTTTCAAGAGAATTTCGCAATCAGTGCTGGCCAAAAAGTTCCTAGTAGCATGAACGGCGGCTTCGCAACCTCCTTTGCTCCCAAAACCAACTTGAGTTGGTTGGAAAAGCTCTTTCAGGGGGCAGAAGATATCCCTACAAGCAAGTTTCGCTGCAAGACGGCGAAAGGTGGATCCTATGGCGATGGGGCGGATACCACCATCTTTCTTGCGGAAGGCACAGAGCCTTGCACCGTAAAGAAAAGGGGAGAAATTATCTACTACCTTACCTGAAAGGAGGAGGTTGCAAAGCTTCGTAATGTATGAGAGAAGTGTTCTGCCGGCGTCAGCGGCGATAGCCCTCATTATATTGCTGTCGCCACTGTGCGACGGGCGCCCGCAGTGAGTGTGCGAGCGCGACAGCAACATAATTACGCGCGAGCAATAAGGTTGGGTAGCTTGGGGCTTGGACAAAATTCTACGTGCTCACGGACCAGGCTTTAGGCGCTTTCAATTTAGACGTTTCGGGTCCGATGTTTCTCGTGCGTTAGCAAGACCACACACGTAATTGACAATTTTATTCCGACGCAGTTGGTTGTAGTACACCATGTGCCGTCCTGCAAACGCACGACAAACGTCCATCACGAAAAGTTTAAGATGGACTGCAGGCCACCACGGTTTCTTTGACTTTTCTTTTTCACTGCGGTCAACCGCAGCGCAGCCTCAAGCCGCAGTGTCGTCTGCGGTTACAGTCCGCAGTCCATCTGGAACTTTTTTTAAAGGATAGTAATTTGTGCAACAAAAAGCCCCGTTAGCCCCTCGTTCTAAGTTAAATATGCTTGTGTCATGAGTGGGCTCACCACAATAGTCGAACGCGGTGGGGACCGAACCCGCGTTCCCAATTAGCAAGCTGAAGTAAAAAATGGCAATGAGTAGAGCGCATAGTACGCAGAACTGAAGGCCGATGGGACAGCAAGCTTCTGGAGTGGAGGACGTCCACCGACGACCTCATAAAGGTAACTGGAAGCAGGCCACCACCAACCGATCAATATGGAAATCATTGCGGGAGGCCTATGTTCAGCAGTGGACGTCCTATGGCTGAAATGATGATGATGACATTGTTTATATTCATTTATTTGTTTAGAAAGGTACACCAACGCAACAGTACATGTATACTGGCCCATTTATTGTCCTGAAGCAGTGGTAGGGTTAATACTGGGACGTGTAAAAGTGCTTTTTTAAAGCCTACTTACAGAAATAAATGAGTTTTACTGAGTTTATACTTACACTATTAAAAATACAGGTCCGACTCGGCGCGCGCTTCTTGCTCCACGGCGGCGGACAACGACTCGCCCCCCGCCGCGCCCCCCGGCCCCCCCTCGCCGCACCCCGCCCCCGCGCCCCTCAGCCCCTGCCTTCCCCCCGGGACCCCCTTCCCCCCGCCCGCTCAGGCGGGACACTCTAGGACTCCGTCTGTGACCAGTCCGCACGCCGCTCCTGCTGCAGCTATGGGTAAGTGGTGGAACAAGTTGTCGTAAACTCGTCATCAATTATAAACTTTGGATTGATTTTCATGAACCGATGTTCTGGTGAAAGTCGCACCTGGTAGTGCATGACCAATAGTTGTGGAGTTCCTTGGGGGAGGCCTTTGTACAGCAGTGGACGTGATTTTGATGAAAAAATATGTATCACAGAATTTTTGAACCAGCAGTCCTACTAAAGGTACGCTATTGTTCGAAAGACTATTAACTTCAAGAAGATAGCTAAGACTGGTTGGATGAATAAAATGAGTAACTAGATCGTGCTTTGTGGCATTCACTTAAGGCTTTTGACACCTATGTCCATTAGAGGACTAGCAATAGCAAAATTTTATGATAATGATGAAACTAGTGCTTTTAACATCAGGTCCCACTTAACATCAGGTGCGATTGTGGTTAAATATCTGCCTTGTTATGCATAAAAAAAACCTACACACTACCACATAGCTTTCTTCATCCTTTTTTTGCCACATCAATATGCTATTGGCGGAAATGTTTGATGCTTTAGTACACTTTTACTTGAGAACTGTTCTATGAAGTTTTATCTTATGTTACCCCTAGCGATGGCAGCGCCAGTGAGCAGCCCGCAGCTTGCGCCGGTCAGCGGTCGCGCGGTCACGGTGACGGCCGCGCTCACGCACGCGGCGGGCGCGGGCGGGGGTGCAGGCAGCGCGGGGGGGCGGCGCGCGTCGCAGCCGCCGCCGGTGCCCGCCCGGGCCAGCTTGCCGGTAAGTCGATAATATAAATGAAACTGACTTTGTTTCCCAAAGATGTAGTAAATGACATCCCATCCCAATCCCAACTATCCCAATCCCAACTAATATTATAAATGCGAAAGTAACTCTGTCTGTCTGTCCGTCTGTCTGTCTGTCTGTCTGTCTGTCTGTCTGTCTGTCTGTCTGTCTGTCTGTCTGTCTGTCTGTCTGTTACGCTTTCCCGCTTGAATCTCGCAACCGATTTTGATGAAATTTGGCATAGAGATAGTTTGAGTCCCGGGAAAGAACATAGGATAGTTTTTATCCCGGTTCTTAAAACAGGGACGCGCGCGATAAAGTTTTTCTGTGACAGACAAAATTCCACGCGGGCGAAGCCGCGGGCGGAAAGCTAGTAGGTAATATTTGTAATTTATTCTTGTCAAAATTATTTAAATATTTGTACGCTGACTAATTATACAGCAAATGGCGCTCTACTTATGCTAGTTTTAAGACCACTATGTTTACCCAAAATTGTGCAAATAAATATTTGAATTTGAATTTGAGGAATTCTCGTGTGGATTCTGATGAATGTTTTTCCAATTTCCAAAATGACGCTAAAGAAGCATAAAAGTATGAAAACATCCTGTCTGTTTTATATGTAGTGAGGTACGCGCGTCAAGGCAAAAATATTTTTTTGGTGACTAAGGTAGTTAAAACTTTAGTCTAAAAAAATGATTTATGTATTTAACATAATAAAGTTATAGCGTTTAACTCAGGCAGTGCCTGAGGTATGGGAGCGGCACGAGAGGGTATTTTTAGGGTTCTGTAGCCAAATGGCAAAAAACGGAACCCTTATAGATTCGTCATGTCTGACTGTCCGTCTGTCCGTCCGTATGTCACAGCCATTTTTTGTTACGTCAAATTCTCCCCCGTTTTGTAAATTGCTAAAATACGAAATAGTAGTTTCGTCGATGACAATTTCTAGTAGCATTCTTTTGGTCATTTATTTATGAACTCTTACTAATTCTCTTCTAATATGCGTTTTTCAGGTTTCTGAAGAAGCGCGCAAAGCAAAACGGCGCGGGCGCCGCTCGTCCTCACCACAGCAGCCCACGCTGCGGTGAACGAAAACGAGCTCTATTCTCAACTCGATAAGGATCAATCTCGCCCACGCACTGTGCTTGTGTGATCTTCACTGTGACAATCCCTGGTAAAACAAACTTTATTATGAACTTCGAAATTCTTATAAGATCTTTAACTCGATATTTTGATGTAAAACTCGTGTATACAAATACATCTTGTCTCTTATTGTTAAGGAAAAGGCTGAAACTTGGTGGCGGATGTAAAGAAAGTGTTGTTCTTAGGATGAGTAATATGAGTATACACTAGAGCATTTACTTATAACAGAACAACGAGCCGCTCTATGAAAATGTTCTAGTATTCACCCTTTCACAAATCAAACGTCGCGGTCGTACATTTTACAGGTAAAATGTACGACCGCGACGTTTGATTTACGTGACGTTCTTACGAATCGTAACAATACAGGTATTGTTACGATTCGTAAGAACGTCACATTACAAAGAAATACTCTAGTCTATACTCACCTTAATCAGAAGATTTTCGGCTACTGCGTCTAATAAATTACAAGTTTTGAAGTATAAATACGCGGGTAGTTATAACTAAGTATTCCATTTCTATTCTGCAGATGGAGGAATAGTCTTGAGACTAACAAAATCAGCCCAAATCGAATAAATAACAAAACAAATTATTTAACGTTAGTTAAGCAAATCCTTAAGATTTCATAAAATGAATAAAATACTTGAATACCTACTACAATATAGTTTGTGGTCAATATCAGAATTCCAACTACCTACTTACATTAAATTAATAAATTCACAATATTTAAGACATAAAGAATACTCATGGGTACCTACGTTTCTCGTTTAAAAAATCGTGCCTAAAAAAACCTCGGACGAACAGACGGACAGACAGACATGACGAAACTATAAGGGTTCCTTGTCAGGACTACGGAACCCTAAAAAACGAACAAGAAGTTACAGTATTACTTATTTATTTCAATTTAACTTTAAAATTGTCAATATAATCTTTAGACTCAGTTCTTTGGGGTCTTGACATACTATGATAATAGTATTAAAATTAAAATAATTCTAAAAACTACCTAATTATATAAGTAATTACTAATTAAGAATGTGATGAGTACTTGATAATAATCTTCCTATCGTCTGCATTGTCGACGCTTATAATAATGTTTTTAATAATTATAAAAGCTTATTTAATTTATTTATAATTAAATTAGTTTTTAATACCATAGTTTATTCATATTACGTATGAATTTAAAAATGTATGTTTAATTTATTATTATTCTGTATGAAAAACGGAACGGCAAACAACACACGGTGGCAATTATTATAAGTTGTAATTATGTAATAAATATTTAGCTCAGTGCAGGGCTATGTATTTTCATTAATTAATTAAAATATCTCAGGCGAGATTGCGGTTAAATGCCTGCCATGTTCTGCATTAAAAAAGTAGTATCTTATGAGTGATTTGCCAATTATCTTTGAAATAAACTATTCTTAACGTTAACTTTAAAAATCACTTGATAAATCAATTGAGTGAAATGGACCATCATGGCTGTCCATCAGTATTATTACTACGTAATTAATTATTCTTAGGAAATTATAAAATATTTAAGATTTCCAACAATAAATCTTATTTTGATGCGTTAAAGAAGGGACTTACCTTCATTTTATTGTAGAAATATTTATTTTTTTCAAAATATTCACATCGTAAGCCTTAATTAAATCCTTAAACATACTAAAAAAATATATTGCAGGTAATATTGTTATAACTACAATACTAATTTTTCCCAAGAATGGTATATGAGAAAAATGAGAATTGGCACTCTAGGAGCAGTAGTGATTCTACTGTTTACTTTTTATGTTAAAATGAGGGAAAGTAATTTAAATTCGTAAGTTTCAATAACTAGCTTTGATATTTTGGCTTTAGAGTTAATTACTGCCTAATTCGTATTTACAAATTTCCTGTTTCCAGTAACATTAAGTACCTAATGGATAGTTCAAATTGTAGCTGTAATCAACTTGTGGCCAATTTTAAAATCACTTTAAAAATATCAGCACCGAGATGTATTTTCGCATTTTATTAAACTCGACATAAATATTTGTTAACTTGCAAGCCAATGTACGAGTGACTTCAAAATATCTTTGTATATTCGCTACAATAAACAGTTAACGAGTACACGTATGGTGCTATAAAAAAGGTCTAAAACGATACCTATGTCGAAATGAATGCGAAATGATGTCCCATAAAAGGATTTTGAAGCAACCAGCTCTTCACTCGAATTCAAATTATTCCTGACAGCCGCGCGAACCTATTTGGTTTGGAATTTCGCGTTTAACGATCACTTAACGTAAACGACTACTTAACTATCATAATAAACTAATTGCAATTATGTACTTGCTAACTCGGCTAGTCTATTTAAATAAGCACGTCTTTAGCTTTAAAACGACCATTACTTATTGATATTTAATATAAGCGAGTTGCCATTCAAATGCATAGTAAATGTCCTAATTCTGTTAGATTTTGAAACAGCAAAATAAAGTACAAAGCCAGTTGCAGCTTAGTACACGAACAATATTTTAAGCATTACATGATTAATTATTTTCAGAATAATGAGAGACGGTCTAATTACTGTGCATTTAAATGACAACCTTCTCCTAGTATTAATAAATTACTCTTTTGCCTGTAACTTCGTGGATCACTCGTGGCAATACTATGTACTTTAAGGTTTACCTAGTTGAAACTAAGAGATTTCCTTCTACTCCTTGTTGACCTAAATCTATTTTCCTCTTTATTATTAGAGTTTAAACTCTTTCGATTTTATTCGAGCCTTAAATCTATTCCTATATTGGCGTTGAAGCTAAATAATTAAAGATTAATTGCGAACACTGTGCTCTAGTTGAAAAACTAATGTTCATCCATTACCGACGAACTCTAAAGGCAAATTATGATTATTAGGTAAATAAAAACCTATGGGCATAGTGTTCGATAAAATTAAAACGTATATAATTTAATTATAAAATACGAGTACATGGACTAGACTAAAAACTTTTGGTTCGTGAAAACCTAGATTTATGAATATTACAACATTATGGAAAGGTAACTGAATTGGAAGTATTGCTATTTTCATCATTTTGTTTACTTACGGGAATTAACGGTAGCGGCAAATTGTATGAACTACTATAAATATACATAGTAACATGTCATTGATAGTAACTTGAAAGATTTTTGCTAGTCCATGTACTGAAGCATACGTCTTGTGCTGTGCGCCTTGCGACCTCTGGCGTAGTGTGTACCGGTAGTACGGTGCCTTATACTGACTAGTTTACTTTCTGTTTACTAACTACGAGTACTCTGTACTAAATGTTATTTTATTCATAATTTAATTCACTTTTTAAGTTAAATTTAAAACTTATAGTCAAGTATTTTAGCCATATAACAGTGTTAAGTATGTCATGTGTGAAGATAGAGAGAGTCGGTCAGGCTACTACCGGTATTATACACTTATTCAAATGCCTGTGTGTTTTATTTAACCAATACTTTCCCTAAAGTTGAGTATAGAATGGAGAATTTACTTGTAAATAAATTATCAATCAAATATCAAATTACTCGTAGGAAACTATTTCCAACAACAAAATATAATATTAATAATCGCGCTAAATTAATAAATGCGCGCAGCAGCGTGAGGGAGGGGGGGCGGGGGGGCGGGGGCAGGGGGGTGCCTGTGCTGCAGTATAAACAGAGCCATATTTTTCGTGAACGCTCGCGCGTGCTGCGCACGCGCTCGCGCTCGGGTTAGGTTCTTTTCAGAACCTAACCCATTTTCAGAATGGTCCCAGGAACCTAACCTGTAATTTTCAGGAATTTCAGAAGTGGGTTTTCAGGAATCTAACGTGNTTTTAGAATCACAGATGCGAAATTAATAATAAGACTCCTGTAAACGTTTACACTGTTGAGATGCTGACAGATTTTCTACTTGTTTTGAAATCACTTCATAATAGGAGGCGTCGCTGAGCAGTGTGTTTAACAACTCTATGATATTCGGTTGCTTTTTTTTATTGTTTTATTAAGCTTTTTGTGCCATGCCATGCCTCAAGCATATTAGTAGTCCGGTGTCTCTCTCCAAATACGCACCAGATTGGAATAAACTCGTCTCGTAACCACTGACTGAGCATTTGCGGAAAAGCTTGCTTTTTCCATCGTCAGGGCTCTGGGCAGCTATGTACCACCAACCGTTAAAAATTTGATTTTGTCAAGCCTCATTTGCCTCAAAATCATTTTTTTAATAGTAGGTAGTCTGTAAAAAAAACGGGTTGCAAATGTTGTGATAGGGATATAGACATGCGATTTTTGGTTTTACAAAGGTAATACGATAGAGAATAATACAAAGTAATAAAAGCCACCGGTTATAGAGGCATTTTTTGGAGAAATTTATCAAATAACAAAAAAAAAACACGAATTTAAAAGCAGATTTTTTTCAAAAAGTGACATTTTTTATTATTTGTTGGCCTTTTTTGTGTATTTGAAGTATTTTTTTAGTATCGCCTGTTATTTAGCATTATTACTGTTTTTATTTTATCAGGATATACCGCTTAGTTTAAAAGTTATTACGTTTTCTTTACAATAAGTAATTGGAAGAAAAAAAATTCTATAAGAATCCAAACAAAATTTCTCAAAATTTTTTTGACCTCTTTTTTGTCGATAAAAATAGGTCTAGTTTTATCTATTTTCATATGTACACTTTAACGTGACTCACACTGTATTTTGTAACAATTTTAGTTTTCCTTGTTACTATTTGTTAGTGAGGAGTTTTAGAGTTACTTTTTATCACATTAGACTATTAGAGTGTTATTAATATTGACTGATTAATGCAATTGCGCATCTGTGATTCTAAAAGTAATCTTTAAGTTTATGACCATAATATTTTGTGACAATTAAACTTACTTTTTTATGCTGAAGATTTTTTAAACAATGACTGTTAAATAAAACTGATTGTTATTTACATATTATTATTTTTTATTTTATTAACAGGTTTTATTTTCGGTATGCAATACCGAGGTGGAACCTTTTAGATCTGTGTCATCCGCCACGATTAGTGAAATACCGGGGTGGTTGAAACTTGATTTGATCCATCCGCCCCGTTAAACGATATACCGGGGTGGTTGACACTTGATGTGTTCCAACCACCCCGTTGAACGCTAAGACTATGACTACCGGGGACGTTGAAACACTTTTTCCCATCCACCCCGTTGACGGGGCAGATCCACCGGGGCCGTTGGGACTAACCCATGGGTATTTATTGGGTTCGACTGACTGTATTGTGTCAGTTTGCAACTGTGTCCACGTGGGAATGTGTCTGATTGAAAATGTGTCTCGTTGAAATTGTGTCCCGTTGAAACTAAATCCATTTATCAAAGTAAACATTTGTTGTCTTTCTGGTAGGTAGGTACTACGACCCGGGATCAATCAATTCTTAAATATCTTTCATCATTTGCATCTCTCGTGTCTCGTGTCGCTAACATTAGATTTGATTCAATAAAACAAAAGAAGTAAATAAATACTTGTATTTCTATTCAAAGACAATTAAACGGGTGCGCATTTTCTTACATAACTTTTCAATTCCTATCATTGGAGGTCCGAAAATACAGTGTGAGTCATGTTAAAGTGTACATATGAAAATAGATGAAACTAGACCTATTTTTATCGACAAAAAATAGGTCAAAATTTGTTTGAGATTTAAAAAAAAAAATTATAGATTTTTTTTTCTTCCAATTACTTATTATAAAGACAACGTAATAACTTTTAAACTAAGCGGTATATCCTGATAAAATAAAAACAGTAATAATGCTAAATAACAGGCGATACTAAAAAAATACATAAAATACACAAAAAAGGCCAACAAATAATAAAAAATGATACTTTTTGAAAAAAATCTGCTTTAAAATTCGTGTTTTTTTGGTTATTTGATAAATTTCTCCAAAAAATGTCCCTATAACAGGTGGTTTTTATTACTTTGTATTATTCTCTATCGTATTATCTTTGTAAAACCAAAAATCGCATGTCTCTATCCCTATCGCAACATTTGCTATGATCTTTTGAACAAAGGCCTGCCACAACATTATTCTCCGCTACAGGTAGAGACAATTTTAATTTTAACTAAAATGCTTATTTTACTTCGAAATCTTTTGTAAAAACAAATGACATCTAAACAATGTATGAAATCTAACTTGTCTTTATCAAAATAACAAATCTAGAGCCATTTCCAGTTTCGTTGTTAACGAAGCGTTGAATGGCGCGCTCGGAGAGGCTTAGTTCAAACGATCATTGCAAACGTTGTGATAGGGATAGAGACATGCGATTTTTGGTTTTACGAAGGTAATACGATAGAAAATAATTCAAAGTAATAAAAACTACCGGTTATAGGGGCATTTTTTGGAGAAATTTATCAAATAACCAAAAAAACACGAATTTAAAAGAAGATTTTTTCAAAAAGTATCATATTTGATTATTTGTTGGCCTTTTTTATGTATTTTATGTATTTTTTTAGTATTGCCTGTTATTTAGCATTATTACTGTTTTTATTTTATCAGAATATACCGCTTAGTTTAAAAGTTATTACGTTTTCTTTACAATAAATAATTGGAAGAAAAAAAATTCTATAATTTTTTTTAAAAAAATCTCAAAAAAATTTTGACCTCTTTTTTGTCGATAAAAATAGGTCTAGTTTCACCTATTTTCATATGTACACTTTGACGTGACTCACACTGTATTTCTCATACAATTTGATATCATAATGATCATTCTTCATAAAAAATTTAAAACCTACATATTTAAAAACATAATCATTGATATTCATAATATCACTAATCATACACTTAGTTTTTACAAATATTTGTTTTCATAATTTTTCTATACTAATGATCGAAACTCATAATTATTCGAATAAATAACTATAATATTCATAAGTATGATTTATCCTAATATTTGTTTTTATAAATTTCTTAATCATAAGTGTATTTTATTATATTTTATTTATTACGGTATTACATACATTACATTACATACAAAGTAATTACATGAAAATCTTACATATAGAAGTGTATTTTTAATTTATGAACGTAACGTATTTTACCGCCACCGAAAACACTTCCAGCAACAAATAATAATATCTACCTACATTAGAAATTCTTATTTCCTTTATACTTTTACTTATTCATCTTCTCATTTATAAACGTAGAGAATTTTATTATCTTGTGTAGTTTTTAATGGGTCCATATTGGCTCACCTAAAGTTATTTACCCGAAATTGTTCCTCCTAACGATTTTAAATCCGAATGATCACTCTTCCTAAAATTTTTCATCCTAAAGTTTTCATTCATACTATTTGTAGTGCTACCGGCGATGTTCATAACACTCATGTTTCCGAAAATTTTAATTAATAATATCATTTATGTAAATATATTTAAACTCCTACTGTTTTTTATCATAACACTTTTATCCCTAAACATTACCATAATATTTTCACTCATACCATAGAATAATAATAAATACTACGTACAGAAGTACGTTCTTCGCGAATAAAACGTAAGGCCACAGTTCTAACCTAACCTAAACCAATAATAATGAATAGACCGATTCGTTTCTGGAACTTGACTGAATGACTGGAGCGGGACTCGAGTACCTATACTTGCTAATGCCAACAAACTTGAACTTTAATATATCGTTAAAGAAAGAAATCTAAACAAAAAAGATATGACTTTGAATAATAGTGTAAAATATGGTTATGTTTAGAAAATCTAGGAGAACAAATAAAAGTGTAATAGATGTTTATTGCTAATGACATTATGAAGTTGAATGATTCGGAATTATGAACATTAGAGACAGAGTAGTTAGGAATTGTGATTGTTAGGTTGAAAAATTTTAGGAAGAACATTTTCGGACTTCCAATTTTCGGAGTTGAAAATTTAGGTGAACTTTGGCGCACCCGTTTTTAATATTATGAGGCTGTACCAAATGTATTATGGAAGCCGGAAACATTGATTTTTCGGATAGATCCTGTTTATTCTGTAACGTAATTATTGTACCGTTTGATAGAGCTCGTGAAGCAATTTCAGGATCAAGAAAGAAAGAAAGAAAAAATATCTTGTATGGTTTAGAAATAATCGAGTGAGATCACTTATCGTTTCCACCCTGTATAGTCGATTGATTGGCGATACAAGGCAGGCCAACGGTCAGTGCCTGTTTTAACACTATCAAGGCGCCCTCCAACTTCAATTCAAACCCATACAAAAAAATTGGCCAAGTGCGTGTCGTGCCACGCGCAGTGTAGGGTTCCGTAGTAGTCCGTGTTAACAAAATATATATTTCAGAAGCAAGCAATTACTTCGCCTAAAGTCACTTTTAATATTTTCTTTTAAGTGACTTTTTCCAGATTTTTTAAGACAACAGTTTAGTTTTTAGGGCGCCTTACTCGAACAAAAATTTGGACTTTTAACTTAAATATTTTGCAAACCGATCCCTAAATCGAAAAATAGTCTTAGAAACCCCTAAGTCATTTAAAAAGACCTATCAAAATTTACCCCACACGATGGGTTAGAAGATGAAAAAGAAATTCATTCCCACTTTACATGTAGGGGAGCTACCCTAAAAAAAATTTTTTTTTTCAAAATTTTATTCTACCATTTTGTTGGCGTGAGGAGGTATACCATACCTCCACAAAATTACAGCTCTCTAGTGCCAAAAGTTTCCAAGCAAAACCTCGGACGGACAGACAGACTTGACGAAACTATTACCTTGTCAGGACTACGGAACCCTAAAAAGGGAAAACATACCTATAATGAAATATAGGATAGTTTGGGTACTAAATTGCTCAATGGCTCAATCATAGAAAAACCGCCGTTTAGTGATTTTTTGTTATTCTTCATTTAGTTATACGTTAGATACCTACCGTTAATTTATATTCCCTCTGTAGTTGGCAGTGAAGAGTACGGTGTCAAACTCTTCTACGATGAATAACTGGAAGGGTCGATCAGCTCGGAACGCAGGTCTGGCGAGCGGTTTAAGACGCTTGCACTTTTTGTCACCAATTAATACTGAATCAATCATAATATGATATCACTGTAATTTGTTTTACTACCAAAACATAATATTTATAAGTCGTTTTTATTACTCAGTTCTCAATAAAATTATTTGCATTCAACTATTAAGTTCCCTTCGACCTAGTAAAATATTATACAGGGCGTTTCTTGTAAGGTGTCAAGCCGAAGGCAGGTGATAGGTGAGGACTAGACCTATAGATTTCACCCCCATGTATGTTCTACGATTTTTCGCAGTTTAGAAGTTATCGTAATTTTGTTAGAATTATTATGGAATATTTTCATATTCCCTGTTGTATACCAGATGAAGAGCAAGAGCTTCCTCGTTGTGGATAAAAAAAATTCTGTTCAGTTATTGTCTCTAAATGTGTTCTACGTAACATAAACTTAGGGGATTTCAAACATTAGTTAGTCCTAAGAAAGTCAAAAACGTAACGGAATCTCCGACTTACCACTTTAGTGGAGCGATTACAGAAAATAATGGCCTATTAAGTACATGTTTTTTGTGTTATTATGAAATTTCAGAAAACTGCGCAGTTTTTAAAATTATTTTGGACCTATGGAAGTTCTTTTTTTTTCAAACTTTTAAGTTGAAAATTTTAGAATGTTCTGCTAAAAGCATATTTTTTATGTTTCTAGCAAAAATATTGTATCTTGCATCAAAGATAGGAAGGTGATTATTTTTTCAAACATCTGCAATTAATAGGCAATCTGTCAAAAAAAAATAAAACCGACTCCAAAAAACCTACACTAAAACGTCGAAAAATAATTACTAATTACCTACTTATTTATTAGGACGAATTATTAATATTTATGTAGGTATACCATGATTGATACTTCTGGAGTCGGTGCCAAGATTATGAAACATGTAAAGTTTGCCTGCACCGACTCCAAAAGTATCAATCATGGTATACCTACATAAATATTAATAATTCGTCCTAATAAATAAGTAGGTAATTAGTAATTATTTTTCGACGTTTTAGTGTAGGTTTTTTGGAGTCGGTTTTATTTTTTTTTATAAAATTTTACTTATTTCTTGCTTTTTAGTTAACTAATTATTACCTTGATGTTACCACTAAAGGTAGGCAGTACACTGAGACCAAAAAAAAATTGGTTCATAATCGGCGGAGATATTGCGTATAAAAAAGTTCATCCCCAATTTTCCACCCTTGGGGGTGAAATATTTTCTTCAAATTCGCATGAAACCACCCTTTTGATAATACCTATTCAACAAAAAAATAATCGTTCAAATTGGTTTATAATCGACGGAGATATTGCGTATAAAAAAGTTCATCCCCAATTTTCCACCCTTGGGGGTTGTTTTTTTTATTATTAAATTTAAATGGGACCACCCTTGAGGTATTACCTATACGTCGAAAAAAGATTTGTTCAAATCGGTTCATAATTGGCGGAGTTATCGCGTAACAAACATAGAAAAAAAAAAAAACATACGGGTCGAATTGAGAACCTCCTCCTTTTTTGAAGTCGGTTGAAAAGAAAAGTGAACCCAAAAAAAAAATTTAAAGCCTACTAGGTCATAAAATTTGAAAAAATCACAAAATTAACGATAACTTCTAAACTACGAAAAATCGTAGAACATACATGGGGGTGAAATCGATAGGTCTAGTCTTCACCTATCACCTGCCTTCGGCTTGACACCTTACAAGAAACGCTCGGTATAAAAGCCAAGCAATGAAGATGAATAGCATGATGCCGCGATGCCGTAGTAATAGAGACAAGTTCATCTGTTTGAGACAGAAAAACTGCACTACAATTATTTAAAAAAATATCATTATACTTATTTATACCAACTAAATAACATCTCATTCACAGACGCAACTTTTTCTATTTGTTACTTAATTATTGTGAAGGAAAATAGGAAGGGTAAATTATTATCATTACAACAAATATGTACCTAGGTATATCAGTAGGATAGCTTAAGTACTAAATTGCTCAATCATGGAAAAACCGCCGTTTAGAGATGTTTTTGTTACATTATATACCTACGGTTAATTTATATTCCCTCTGTACTTGGCAGTGAAGAGTACGGTGTCAAATTCTTCTACGATGAATAACTGGAAGGGTCGATCAGCTTGGAACACTGGTTTGGCGATCGGTTTACGACGATTGGACTTTCTTTTCTTGTAAAGTAATTCTGTATCAATTATAACAATGATATCACTGTAATTTTTTTTTTTTGTAATTAAATATTTTTTTGTTATTTTTAATAAAATTTTTTGTAATCAACCTTTAAGTTGCCTTTCGCCCATTAAAATATTATAATGAAAGCCAAGCAAAAGAAGCATGATGGTGTAGCAATAGAGACAAAGTCGTCCGATTAAAGCCTGTCACAGACTTAGCTATAATATATAATAATATTTTTATAGCTAGGCATATTACTATACATTTTCTATACTAATTTTCGAGAGACTACACACACAGCTATAAATATATTTCTGTGACTATATGGTGTGCTATAAAAATATTAATACAGTGTGAGTCACGTTAAAGTGTACATATGAAAATGGATAAAACTAGACCTATTTTTATCGACAAATAAGAGGTCAAAATTTTTTTGAGATTTTTTTGAAATTTTTTATAGAATTTTTTTTCTTCCAATTACTTATTGTAAAGGGCTACCTAAGTAAACTCCGACAAACTTTACTTCGACATTACGTTACTCCGACATTTCTGAATATCGACATGACTTTACTTCGACACTACACTACTCCGACAAAGGATATTCGCCTTTGTCTAAGTAGTGTAGTGTCGAAGTAAAGTCATGTCGATATTCAGTAGTGTCGGAGTAACGTAATGTCGAAGTAACGTTTGTCGGAGTTCAGTTTTTGAGCCATTGTAAAGAAAACGTAATAACTTTTAAACAAAGCGGTATATCCTGATAAAATAAAACAGTAATAATGCTAAATAACAGGCAATACTAAATACATAAATAACACAAAAAAGGCCAACAAATAATAAAAAATGATACTTTTTGAAAAAAAAATCCGCTTGTAAATTCGTATTTTTTTGGTTATTTGATAAACTCCAAAAAATGCCCCTACAAAACGAATGTAAATTTATTAGTCTACGTTTATTAGTTTCGACGTAATTGTAAAACTCAAAGCCTTGTAATTTTTTGAGAAATGGGACAAGCCCCAAATTTGAAGTATTTTCATCGATAAAATTGCCCATAGATTACGCCCTTAAAGTTTGATCACTACATGCCCGGACACACTGTATATTATAGCTAAGTCTGTGACGGGCTTAAGAAAAAAATTTACCTGCACTATTATATTGAAACAAAAAACTATTTATTTTTAATTTACATCCCAACTAAATAACATCTCATTCACAGACAGAACTTTTTCTATTTGTTACTATTTTGGGGGGAAATGGCAAGCGTATTTTATTACTTTTTTATGGGGATATTGTTAGTATTGTCCTGTTACCATTTTATTATTTGCATACCAAGTGGTTCTAAAAATACAAAATAAATATTACAAGTAATCTCTGGGCCCGATCCAATAAAATGATATCACTGAAAGCCGTAAATTGGGCCGATTGTTAGTTACTAGGAAGATTTATTAAAATTATAACGATATGCTTTGATAAAATGTAATAAAAAAGTTTTGTAAAATTTAAATAATTATCGTAATTAGTGTACTAATTAAGATTTTCTTCGATATGCGCCTATGAAAAGCGTGACATAGGGTCGGCTGAGCAGGGCGTAGAAAAATGCCCGATTGGCGCAAAACCACCGCGGCCTTATTGGTGGAGCAGCACTACGGCCAAATACACCCAAAAAACCTGCAATATAAATACTTTTTTCATGTGTGTTCTTTCATGAGCGGCCACATAATATAACGATTTACTATTCTAATAACCACTGTATAACTTATACGGAGTGTTGATTTCAGTCCTCGCCATATTTATTTAGGTGATCTATTATGACTGATATGTATAAACGCATTATCCACCAAAAACAAATTACAAACGAAAGTGGAATTTTTAGCGAATATTTTCAAATTCAAATCTTTCCACCAAGTCGAGCAAAAAAGCGGCACGGCCGTACCATCCTTTTCTCGAAGCAATTCAGGCCATTTTCGACAGCCTGTAACTTCGTTGTGGATAAAACTAGAAGGCTGAATTTTCATTAGCTATGCAGGCATTGTAAAGACACGGTATATTTAAAATTTCATTCAATTTGAACCAGTAGTTTAAGAATTATAACGGGTCAAAGTTACTTAATTTTGTCACTGACTGACTGACTCACGGCCTGTTCATCTCCGCGAGTTTACATCGAAAACAAAACACGCACGATGGCCCACCTACAGGATACAATTCGACAAGGCCTCACATACGAGCGAACATTTGACTCACGCACGCATATTCTTGTGTATGATGGAAGAAAATAGTGTACTAAATACTGTGCAGTATTTAACTGCCTAAATAATAATAAAAACACAGAATGTACTTTTTTAAGTTGCCTCAAGACACTGAGAGGTAAATAAGTAGTTAATATTATTCATGATAATTCATGCTAAATTATGTATTTCCTCCTCCGCCATTTTCCGCAGTTTGGCACCTCACGTCACATCTTTTTACTAAGTCAGCCCTATAGCTTCGGCGCAGTGCCGATCACTGACGTTTGTCAACAAAATGGTGCTTGACTCTTGAGACAGGCTAAATTACACCATATTGTTAATGACATTGAGCATACATTTTTTTAAATACCTTCGCGAAGTAAAACTTCTGTACGTAGTACTTATTATTATTCTGTGGTAATACCAAGTCCAGGCCAGGAAATCTTTAACGTTTTATATAAATATATTGACTTGGCCATCGCATGAAAACACGTGTAAATTAAATTATTTAGTGCGATGGCCAAGTCAATAATTTATGTAAAACGTTAAAGATTTCCTGGCCTGGACTTGGTATTACATGGATCTTACAACTTTTTACCGTAGAACAACTGAGTTGCGAGACTTGGTTTTTTTGACAAGTATTGTTTTTGATGGGATTCATTTATTCATTGCATCATTCATTCATTCCGCGCGACATCTACTGTACTGTGGCTCGCAATTACTGCAATGCATTTACACTGTGGCACCATAGAGCTACGCGGATCGCTCGCTTATCATGTCCATCATATCGGATAGCCTACTGAAGGAAGCCACGTAAAGTAGGTAGTGTAAATAGGTATTTTTCTTTGACTAACTAAAGTTCGTTTTAAATTTTTTTCGAAGTCAATTTTTTTACTGATTCGTGATCAGAATAAGCTACTTAATCAACTCCCTAAATATAGCGAGGATTGAAATCAACACCCTGTATAGTAGGTAGGTACGACTAAACCAAATTAATTACATATTATTTACCCAGTACCGTATAGTTAGTCTAGAGCCCATTTAAAAGTTTAAAGTAAATCTACTTAGGTGTCATCTTAAATGGGTATAATTAATTAATCATTTACATTCAGAATGGAGAAGTATAGACAATTTGGTATCTTCTTGCTCATAAAAAAAGGAATAACCATGTTTAAGGTCAGTCAAAACAAAGATGAGTGAAATACTTGCTACATTCAAATCGGAAAATTACTCAGGGCATTGACGAGATATGAAAATATTGTATGAATTTGTATCGCCCTGAAAAATAACTGTATACTAAGGCTGAGTTGCACCATCTAATCTTACTTTAACTTTGACAAACGACAAAAATCTGTCAAACTCCATTCAAAAAGCACATGTTTTGTCATTGTTACGGTTAAAATAAGGTGGTGCAACTCAGCCTTTATATTATGTCTTTTATTATAACAACGACTGTAAGTATATTATTAAGTAGTCTGTGCTGCAACTGAACTAACTACTGTAACAACTCATACGAAACACTATAAAGTACCTTCAAAAGTGAGAAACTTACTTCTTGCCATTTTCCCAGTTATAAGACAGGTGTTAGGGTGAATATTTCCTTATTATATAGGGTGTTTTTTTATACAACTTCAAAATGAAATAAAATATGTAAAAATATATTTTATTCATATGGCATTGTCTTGTTTAAAAGATGTTCTTATGGCATTTATGCTTCAAAATGATTTCGGGCCTAAGGGTGCCACGGTTGGCTCAAATGTAGCGTAATCGAGATGTCCAATTTTCAATTTCTTTTTCGGGCAACTGGGGCCATACATCGGCAATAACGTGACGAATTTTGGCATTCACTTCCGTAGTTTATCTGCGCAGTAGTGGACTTCACATATCCCCAGAGAAAATAATCCATAGGCGTGAGATCACCCGATTGTGGAGGCAAATTCAAAGATCCATCACGTGAAATTATGCGCTCACCGAATGTTTCCCGCAATAAATTGAATGTGTCGCGTGCTGGTTGGATGGTAACACGATCATGTTGAAACCATAGCTTTGCCACATTAATATCATTCATCTGAGGAATGAAAAGTTACGAAAATTACGTCGACCGTAATATGGACATTTGTATGGAAAACTGAACCATGTTTTTTAAAATACATTTTTGCACAATTTGCAACCGTTGTTCTGATGTAATTCTATTTAATTATGAAATGCCAAAACATACTATCCACAAATGTACCACCAACTATCAAATTAACTATCACTAGAAACAGTGTAACCAATTTAAAGTTGTATACCTCTAAAAAAACACCCGTTATTAATTACTAGCTTTCCGCCCGCGGCTTCGCCCGCGTGGAATTTTGTCTGTCACAGAAAAACTTTATCGCGCGCGTCCCTGTTTCAAAAACCGGGATAAAAACTATCCTATGTTCTTTCCCGGGACTCAAACTATCTCTATGCCAAATTTCATCAAAATCGGTTGCGAGGTTTAAGCGGGAAAGCGTAACAGACAGACAGACAGACAGACAGACAGAGTTACTTTCGCATTTATAATATTAGTTGGGATTAGCACATTGCGGTCCTTGTTTACAATCGTCAGACAAATATTTTAAGGAAAAAAGGAGTTTAATGTTAATTGTAAAGTAGGTATTTTACAATTCCATTAATAATATAACGTCTAGTCTCAAACTAAACTAAGATTGATTGTCATCTGGAACCATTAGAAATATGACCTGTCAGGTCTTAAGTAGGTATCCATGTATGGAAATACAGGCAGAAATATGAAAATTAATGTTATTAGATTCATATAAAAGTACCCACACCACTTTTTGAAAGTTATCAATACTGCATAAATAAATGGCGCGTTATTTAGTAATTTATGAATCGAAACTAATCAATTAACTGTCTTCTTCTACAAGCAATATCTGACACTCTTATAATTTGCATTAAATTTTACTCACCAGTAGTTCCATAAGATATCAAATTGTCAAAATAGTCTCCTAAGCTACGGTTGCGGTTCAGTTCACAAACTTGAGAACGGGAATTAAATGGGCGTTCCCAGCTTCTGCCCTAGGGGAGGGCTAGCCATACGTAGCTTCTGGTCTAAGGGGGGCAAGTCAGATTTTTTTAGGTCAGATCATTTGACTTAGCTTCTTCAAAGCG